ATCTTCCCATCAGTTTTAATATATCACATGCAAGTAAGTTAATGCCATCATTTGTAGAAGCAGAAGTTGACGTGTTTTTTACCACCTTTGAAACCCTTGCTAATCAACTCAGTTGGCCTGCCGACCAATGGCCCACACTTCTCAGAGTACATCTTACAGGTAGAGCTGCAGTCACACTTAGTACTTTGGCGTCTGAGAATGACTACCAGACTCTGAAACAAAGCAGTGTTGGACGCCTACCTTCTCTCCACCGAAAGTTATCGAAGGAAATTCCGTGATCACCTGAAGGCAAGTACCACTACCTTTCTCGAGTTTGCTAACACAAAACGGAGATATTTTATGAAATGGCTGGAAGCAGCACATGTCTCTACTTTTACAGAACTCGTCAACCTGATGCTAGTTGAAGAATTCTTGAGGCGTGTGCCGCCTCCTGTCCGTCTATATTTAGCAGATAAAGAAGAAACCGACTACCTGAAGTGTGCTAAGTCGGCTGACACTTACAGCCTCATCCACCGGCTGACACCAGAACCATCCTCCAGTAAGAAATCGTGGTACAGTTACGAGAAAGTGAGTACCGATCAGGCTGGCTCGCAATTGTACTGCAAGTATTGTAGACTCTATGGACATACCATAGATAAGTGTGGTAAGTCTCAATACAGAGGAACCACTGACACGCAAAAACCCAAACCAACTCCTCCTAAGTCCGGTAAGCCTGTGATGAATGTTGGTGTTCATGTTAATGATCTTTCTCTTTTCAGTAACCACCTGTATACTGGAACTGTCTCTGCCAACGGTTCAAATCCGGAGGGACGTTTCAAATTGAAGATCTTGAGGGACACAGCGGCTCTTCAATCGATCATCTTGAAGTCGGCTGTGCCCAACATCGCCTACACCGGAGAAACTGTCTTCATCACTGACCTCACTGCTACCACTCCTTATCCTCTCGCCAGAGTACACCTGGATTGTCCCTTCGTGAACGGAGAAGTCCAAGTCGCCGTCAGGGAAAAGCCTTTTCCCATGCGTGGAGTGCAACTTCTCCTAGGCAACGACTTGGCGGAAGACCTGCAACCGACCAACCTGATCGTCATGGACAAACCCCAGGTGTGTACCTCTGTGCCAGATAACCCTATATTTAAGTATGTTCCAGCAAAGGTTCAAGAGAGTGATAAAGTTTCTCCTCCGGTTCTAGTGACCACCCGTGCACAAGCCGCACGACCACAGCCAGCTGACTCTACTCCTACCGCTGTCCCTCAAGACCCTCAGAAACTACCCCCGAATCTGACCAAGTTGGAGTTCCGTAAGTTGCAGAGGGAAGATCTTACTTTGACACCATTATTTTTCCAGGCTGAGACTCAACCCGACAGTATTCCTGGGTTCTTCCTAGAGAACGACTTGCTCTACCGCAGATATAGACCCAGTAAACTGAAGGAGGAGGACGATTGGGCCAACATCGAACAACTTGTGATTCCTGCCAGCCTGCGGCCCACTATTCTACACCTGGCCCACGGAGCACTCTCCCACTACGGATTCAACAAGACTTACCATGGAATTCGTCAAGACTACTACTGGCCAGGTATGGTAAATAGCGTCAAACAGTACATAAAACAGTGTCATACATGTCAGATGGCAGGTAAACCGAACATCTCTATTCCCAGAGCGCCACTGATTCCCATACAGGTGCCTGCGGAACCTTTCCACAGACTTATTATAGACTGTGTTGGTCCTTTACCTCGGACCAGTTCAGGTAACGCCTATATCTTAACTATCCTGTGTCCTACCCCCCGATTTCCCATAGCAGTTCCAGTGAAGAACATTACGGCTGCTACGATTGTGAAGCACTTATTGATGATCTTCACCCAGTATGGATTTCCCAGGGAGGTTCAGAGCGACTGTGGCACCAACTTCACCAGTGATCTCTTCAAAAGGACACTGGAGGAGTTCAACATCAAACAGGTATTGTCCAGCCCCTATCATCCTGCTTCACAGGGTTCTCTTGAGCGTAGTCATCAGACTATCAAAGCACTCCTGAAAAAGTTTTGTAGTGAAACCTCTAAGGATTGGGATAAGCAAATAGATCTGATAATGCACATTTATTCCTAATGTCTTGTCAATGTAATGTCTTCCCAATGAGTCCCTAGGAGTATCTCCTTATGAGATGCTCTACGGCCGTAAGTGCCGTACTCCCCTCAAGGCTTTCAAAGACTCTCTACGAGATGCCACCTTCAGTGAGCATCAGAATGTGCCCCAGTTTCTTCAAAACCTTCAACACATTCTAGAGAGAGTCCACAGTTTTGCCCATGATAATCTATTGAAAGCACAGGAGAGGATGAAGACTCATTACGACCAGACCAGCAAAGTAAGAAAATTTAAGCCGGGAGACTTCGTGCTAGCGTACTTCCCTATCCCAGGTTCTCCTTTACAAAACAGGTTTTCAGGACCCTACCGCATCAAGGAGTGCAGAAACAACCATAACTACGTTCTAGAGACTCCAGATAAGCGGCGGAAGACCCAGCTGTGCCACGTCAACCTCCTGAAGCTATATAATGGTACTCCTCCCACTGTCATGTTAAACTACTCTGCTTTTACAGAACCATACATCCACAGTGAGACCTTCCCTGCTTCTCCTCCCGAAAGCACTGACAAGGAGTCGGCGCTTTCTAATTCAAAAATCCATACTGATATTCCCAACCATTTTCAGGACCATAATAGTGCTCCTTTGCCATATTCTAATTCCACTCTCACCTCGTCAGATAAGCCCTTCATCCTCCATGTCGACGCCAGTGGTACCGGCGTTGGTGGTGTCGTGATGCAGCAACGAGGCGAGGAGAATACACCTGTCAGCGACTACTGCTACAAGGAACTACGGAACAATTGGCAAGGAGCTACTCTTCATCATCCTGAAGCTCCAGCACTTCACTCCACACCTGAAAAGTGCTTGGTCCACCATCAACACGGACCACACCACCCTACACCTCCTGCAGCACGCCCACTTCTAAACTCAACGTCTTCTACGATGGGCTTAATAACTGCAGAAATTCAACCTGGAGACCCGGTATACCAGGGTTCTGACAACATCATAGCCGATGCCCTCTACAGAGTTTATGAAGTAGAAGCGACTCCACCTATTATTCCACCACATAACGACGTACTTCTTCCAGAACCGCAGGCTTCGGGGGAGAGTTATGACGATAATCTCTTTCAAGAGAGATTGAGCCTGCTCTTCCCTCCAAACTACGTCCCTGTAACAAATAATATAGAAGATATATCCAACAAGTACAACAACAAGTTTTGCCCAGAGTGCAAAACGTATCCAACACCGGCACACCTGCTCGCCTCCGCCACCGTGAACCGGCAAACTGCTTGTCCATCGCCTGCCTGTCGCTGATTGGCTGGTGCCCTTCGCACCTGCCCCACCACCCGCCACACGAGCTGATGTCTGGGCCACTGCGACCTAGGGAAGACAGAATATATCGTGCTCCACACAAGTTGACACGTCTCATTGGTAGACTAAGCCTTGGCTTACGTGTACTAAGGGAGGTGGCAGCTTGAAGCCAATATTCAAGCATCATTATTTCCTTTGCTATATTTACTTTGCTATTATTCACTTGTCTTAATGCAACTTTTCATTTGCCAGTGATTATTCTTATTATTTCGTTTGTTGATTTATGTTACATTTTTATGCCCAATTTTATTCATGTCTTGCTTTTCTAACGTAATTAAAATTTCATTGTTAAATTTACTTGTGTTTTGTGTGTCTTCCCATTACCTTACCACAGACGAAAGTTCCAGCTTTTTTCTTTTTTTTTCTTTATGTGACGAGGCCATACCCCTAGCTTTTGAAACAGCCGAACACCAACGCGTTACTGTCACAATATGTATATATATATATATATATATATATATATATATATATATATATATATATATATATCAATGAGAAAATCCAATAGGGGCTGTGAGGTTGGCGCGAACCTACGACCGAGGCATTGGCAAGCCGCATCTAATACCACTAGACCACCGGTGCTTGTAAAAATCATGCAACCGGATTTTTACTGAAATCATAGGAAGTCAGGAGCAGATATTCTAGGGCAATGCAGTGGGCGCGAACCTAGTGAATTTTCCCATTGATATATATATATATATATAACATTAATGTGATATATATATGTTTCTGAAATTGGGACGTAAGGTGTAGGTCACTCTGCCCTTCCACCCGAGTGCTTGTGGATCATACGTGAAAACCTGGACTGGCTTGAGTAAGGGCCTCCAGACTTCCTGTGATTTCAGTAGAAATCCGGTTGTAATACTTCGACAAGTCACAGTGGTCTTCTGGTAGAGTATGCGGCTTGGCGATGCCATAGTCGTAGGTTAGAGCCCACCTCATTTCCCTAGTGGATTTTCTCAATAATAATACGAATTAGTTATATATTTAGGTAAAAATACATGCATACAAAATGAGTTACAAGCTGAATGATGGATCTCTAGATAGTGTTAGCATATACTCTGCCTAAAGCCACTAATACGCACAGAGTTTCGGCCAAAACTACACCCAAGGGATGACAAAAAACTGATCTCGGTGTATTCACACACCGGAGAGTTTATTTGAGACAGTTTATGGACGTTCTGTAAGGTGTTGTGGTGGCCTTAATAACTCTCTCGCGGTTGATAGACTTTAACCTCAACACCAAACAGCTCTCGCCCCTTCAACTTTTACCCTAAGTTACAGTCGGTGCTGCAGTGCAATATTGCAATTTTTTTAATGAATACGTACTAGCAATTGAATCTGTGTACATTTGTTACCCCAACCAATTCATTCATCAGAGAGAGAGAGAGAGAGAGAGAGAGAGAGAGAGAGAGAGAGAGAGAGAGAGAGAGAGAGAGAGAGAGAGAGAGAGAGAGGAGAGAGAGAGAGGGGAGAGAGGGAGGGAGAGAGGAGGGAAGGGGGGGGGGAGAGAGAGAGAGAGAGCATCGTGATGTTGGTTCGGGACTTGTCCGGAAATGAGAAACATTCAGTATTACAGTGGAAACTAGAGAGACATCAAATAGGAAAGGAAAATAATAATGGAGGAAGACAGAAAGCTACAAACTACATACTGGTGTAGACATACGTATCGTGTACCCTCATCATAAAAGATACTAAGAAGAACAGAAGGCTAGCTGGAATGAATAGATTATATTTTACAGAACACAAACGCTGGTTTATTGAAGGTATATCACTTTCACTAACCTAAACAAAACAAAAAGAGATCCATAAAAACAGAGTGATGGAGATGAACTATGAAAATCTGACAATTAAAAGACAGGCTGACGGATCAAGAATGTTACATTAGTGGTTAATTATCTGTTATATATAATCAGTATTTAGAGAGGGCGTGCTAGTATGATTTTTTCTACCACAGACGTATTCAGCCAAGGAACATATATTATTTCCTGTCCTCCAGGGACAGCGTCAGAGATCTGTTAGATATCATATCGTGTACCGTGTTGTTAAGCACTCAACCACAGGTGTTGATAGTCGTGTTTTTACACTGATAACCATCAAGCATACATTCTCGTCTGTCTTACCTTGACAGGTAGAAACTTCCTAGTATCAGAAATTAGAACCAAACGAGTCTCAATGTGTGAACAACGTACTCGGAGAGATACTCTTTGATGATGCTCGCAGATGGTGTTATAGAAATTAAAAACAAACTGAGGAAGTTTGTCAACATATATGAAGCTCTATTTCTACGCTGGCTACATTTACTATTAGTAAAAGTTGATAAAGTTGCTCTAAGGTTCCAGATTGACCTTCTAAGTAACATTGATATAAATATAATAGAGAAGAATCTCTAACGTATTGAAATTGATGACCCATACCAGTTTAAACTAAAATAATACTAACGATAATTAAACAATAAAATAATCTTTATTGAAACTGATTTCCACTGCTCAGGTCTGAAGCTGATTCAGGAAATTCCAGGTTACACCGAATATGATCAATTAGTTACAACGAAATGCAAAAAAACACCAACCTGGTCCTGCAGCGAGAGACCTTTCCCAGTAACGTGCTTCAAAATTTATTAATAGACTTCATGTATTGAAGTAGGTAAAACGAAAGAACTGAGTGCCCATTGAAAGACTGAAAGCAATGGCTGTTCCTACATTAGTAAGAGAAGATCTAGAAGGAGAACATGATTGCGACGTGAAAGATCCTATACGGGTTTTTGTAAATTAAACGAAAACTAAATTCTTCAAGTTGAAACGGCAAAAGAAATGTTTTGTACTAAAGGAATAGAAACAGATACTCCGGGATGAAAAGAAATGATTTCTAGAGTAAGTTTCAAGTGGTCTTTCAAACTTTTCCCATCAAATTCAACAATATTTATTGGATGGTTGGCACACAACTCGTTGTTTGCTTTGGGAAGTCGAACCGTAAAGAGAGAGAGAGAGAGAGAGAGGGAGAGAGGGAGACAGAGACAGAGATAGAGAGAATGTTTAATGGGCCTCCTTACATTTATCATTAACCATGAGGTAATTATCAGTTGAACAAGTCTCTAAAGGATAACAAAGCAGTCATATAATATACTTTATAATAATTATGTTTCCATATAACCTTAGAGACTAATCGTTCTTATGTACATCATTTGAACAATTCAAATAATGAGTTAAATTTTGCCAATAGGGACATTTCAGAAAGAACTTGAGTCGTGATAATTACTTTTGACAGAGAAGATACATGTAAACTTTGTATTTCATAATATTCGCAGAAACTAGGGCTTTACTCATATGGAAATACGACACAACATCGCTCAGAGCATTAATTAATACCCCCAACCAATCCTCTTGAATATTACATCTCACTGTGTAACTTATGACCCTCCAACGTGCAAATCAGAAATCACTATAAAAAGTTGCGGCTCACAAAAGCTCACATTTTCTATGCTTGGTTAGGTTAGGTTAGGTTAGGTGGGTGGCTTGGGTTCGTAGGTTACTGGTTAGGTTAACACTTTGTATTTTGTACATGGTAGCACATAAAGATAACGGGGTGAATACCCACTGTACATGGATCGGATCCCTTACCAACAACAGTCTCCAGACATTATCTACGTAACCAAGGAGTCGGCTCCGTTGTCAAGGAGACTCAGACGTTTATAGTGTCTCTTTAGTGACACAGTCTTAGGTGTTCCTGCATCTTCACTTAGGTGTTCCTGCATCTTTACTACACACATCATACTTCAAGTCTGTATGGAACGTCTGGAATTATTTAATATTAAGGTCATCTTTACCTTCTTACTGTGAGAGCATTATTGTTGGTTCCATGACCATTGAGGCTTTATTTGGAGCTTTATTTATATTAGTTGATGAGTCTTTAGGGTGAGACTTCGTGAATATCTATAAGAGTTTCTTCACTATCTAGTTCAATACTTTCTTGTTGTGAAGTCTGAAAATTATCTTTAATAATCTTTTTCCAAATAGTATAAATAGTGAAGATAATAAAACCCATTATACTCAGACATATAATGGTGTCCAGAGTCACTTCCCACAAGTACCACATATCTAGTTGTCCGCTGCAAGTACCAGTATCATAAACTGTGCATACTTTATAAACGGACGTGACTGTATGATTAGTCGTATGTATTTTTCTCCTGTATGAGTCATTAGCATGTATCTTGCTACTGTATGGGTCATTAGCGGTAGTTTGATTACTGTTCCCTTCTGCATCAGCACGCGTCTGTGGACAATCCTCCGGAAGCGTCGTATTACTCTCTTTCAGTGCATCTGACACAGACTTACTCCCATCGTACGACGACGGGAGTAAGCACACACAGCACGAACTCTCATCACAGGGGACTAGCGCAGCTATCCAGGTTCCTGTGTCGCTTACACACGACACACTGACAAAGCTTACATTCCCGGGAACCCCACAGACGTGTGGCGAGTGTCGACACGCAGGGAGCTTCCTCACACAGCCTTGAACGGGTACTGGAGGCCACTGTCCGAAGGTTTTATCCATAGTGTCGTCGCAAGTACGATTGTTGATCAGAATGATAATGCTACGGGGACTGTTTGATAGACTCTGGTGGCAATCGTTATCTGTTACTTTTTCCATCTTATCTGAGGGAAGGAAAATATTTTATTTGTATACGTTACTATGAAAAACAAGAATAACAAATCATTAGCAAAATATTAATAATCTTCCTGCCTCAGAGATGTGGCCCCGGCTTCAGAGATGTGGCCCAGCGCCTGACAGCTGGGTGGACAGCGCTTCAGATTCGTAGTCCTGAGGTTCCGGGTTCGATTCCCGGTGGAGGCGGAGACAAATGGGCAAAATGTTTCTTCACCCTGATGTGCCTGTTACCTAGCAGTAAATAGGTACCTGGAAGTTAGACAGTTGCTACGGGCTGCTTCCTGGGGGTGGAGGTCTGGTCGAGGACCGGGCCGCGGGGGGCATTAAGCCCCGAAATAATTTCAAGATAACCACAAGATAACCCGAAGGTGTGACCCTGCCTCAAAGTTGTGGCCACCAGCCTCAAAAAGTGGCCCTGCCTATGTGGCTCTACTTCAAAGAGAGTCCGACAACAACTTATGTGTTAAAAGTCTCAAAGTTAATTGCAGATAAACCTGTGCATATATAGTTGTTTTAAAGAACAGAAATCCTTTCCTTAATCATTAATTTGCGCAATTAACTCGTCCCAATTACCCCCTATAAACTTAAAGGCAAATATTTGAACAAATTAATTTAGTGAGTTTATTCTTTCTAAATGAGAGTAAAAAATGGAAAAATAGTGGGAAAAATTCCACATACAGTATATTGATGAAAAATATCAGAGTTTCTGACAAAAGAATTATCTCTTATATATATGTATATGTGTTTTCTTACAGAATTCTTGGAAGAACATAAATAAATATTGTCACTAAAGAAAAAACACTAAATTTTATCTCAAAACTTAATATTTTCCAAAAATACTTTTAGCCACGAAGATGCTACATTAAATTTAATGTTTCATGGCCAATAACGCGGTTTATCTCTTCATTACATAGTAATAGCAAGAAAAAAGTCAAATATTGGAAATTAAATAAATATTTATACTACCCCAGTTCTACCAAGTCTTAATTGTAAAAAATATCAATTGATGAAAGCCAATTGTCATGAACCGCACTTAAATGATTAAACAAGCAATTTCTAAGACATTATTGGCATCAGTAATAAGAAACAGGCTTATCTCACATTAATTTCCAACAAAGACAAGAAAATATGGAAAACTGGAAATTATTTCGCCAATTCCATACTTAAAATAGCAGCAATCCCTCGACAATCGTGGCTGCTTATACGTGAGTGCTGGTTGAGGCTGAGGCAAGCACACACCGGCAACCATCGCAGTAGGAGTCCTACCGTCCCCACCACCATGACTTGTGCTCCCCTCATCTTCCTCACTCTTGCCCTTCACACTTTCCTTCCATCACGCTGCTGCTGTTCCTGCTACTTCTGCTTCTGCTGCTCATGTGTCTTTTGTTACTGCTGCTGCTGCTGCGTCTGTTGTTGCTGCTGCTGGTATTGCTGCTCCAAGATAATTAACTTTAGTTCCCTCTTTAACACAGAGTTTTCTCGTGATAATTAATGCTAAAAGGAATATGAGTTACAATATAGATATTCTGATGGGAAAGTGAAACAGGGACAGAGAGCCTTTTTCAAAATTATTGTGAAAATTTTGTAAGGTAAATAATATTTAAGAAAGTATTGTATTCCATTAACTTAATTATTTCCTCATGAAGCCACAACTTAAAAAATAAAAAATGTACAACAGCAATACATACGGAAATGATAACACAATAAAGACAAATTTACATTAAATTTCTTTAACAGTCAATTAAATACTATGGAATTATTAGGAGATATATTATAGTAATAACAATGTATTTTGTAATACAGATAATAAAATGTGTATAGATGAATACATAAAATAAACGCACACATACACATACATACTCAAAATGCACAAATATATATATATATATATATATATATATATATATATATATATATATATATATATATATATATATATATATATATATATATATATATATATATATATATATATATACCTCTAGCTGGAAGAAGGGGGACCCATAGCCTCGGAGGAAACCACGCATAACGCATTAGAGGGAATGTTTAGATCCCCTCCAATACAGTTTCTGTGTGCTTTTCTCCTACCACCCCCTTCCTTTTTTATTTTGTGTGCTTTATTATGCATTTGATGGTTACAAGATATACATGGGTTGATACAAAAATAATAATGCAAAAAGGTGATTAAAGGTTATGGATCTCTTGAAAAACACGACAATGGGAAACATTGATGAATGTCACATATATATATGAATGTCATATATATATACATATATATATATATATATATATATATATATATATATATATATATATATATATATATATATATATATATATATCTGGCTATATATATATATATATATATATATATATATATATATATATATATATATATATATATATATATATATATATATATTAGTATATTTTGGTAGCAGTCTTTCTTATAAATATATGTTATTGAATATGACCGAAAGGGTAAGATTAATAATTCTAACACAAATCTTCTCAATATTTCTTACGTTTTTCTTCACTGTCGAAGGTAATTTAAAAATTAACTCTCCAAAATTCATTTTACATTTTTATTTTTGGTCTGACGCCTAAAAGCGTTTTGTAAGGGTTTCTTACAATCTCAAAGACTGGTGTACTCATAACAAATATCATTCTTATATGCGTTTTGGGTGAGGTGATATGACACAAAAATTTTGGGTGAGGTGGGTATAAATTGGGAATGAAAACATCAATGAAATTAACTACAGAAGGCCTATTGGCCCATATTTTCTCTTGCTGCTTCTATGTTGGTTCGGGGTCTTGAAGTGGGTTGATTATAGTTATGCGTTAATTGGCTGTTGATTGCTGATGTTGACTTTTTGAAGTGTAGTGCCTTGCTGATGTCGAGTCTCCTGTATCTATCGATGATTTCTGTATTGCTTGCAGTGATGCTGTAAGATTTCTCTGGTGATGGTCTGGTTGTGAGAAGAGATTATCTGTTCCTTGATGTAGCCCTGTTGTTTGTGCATTATTAATCGTCTGGAAAAAGTCGTTGTTGTCTTGACTATATACTGAGTTCTTTGGGGCTTACAGTCCCCAAGTGGGAATGTGAAAGCATAGACGACACGAATAGTAAAGATACTCACATATAACATAAGATAACACAGACAAAGATAACAAAATGCCTTGAATTATACATTATAATGACCTTGAAGGTTAACTTCAGGGCATTCTGTTTGGAGTCTGGGGAGTTTTTCATGAGTAGGTTGGCCTTTTTTTTTTTTTGTATCAAATTGTCATTTTCATTTTCTGATTTTTGTCTGTAGGGATAATGTTCCTATTAATAATGCCATTCAGGACACTTTTCTCCGTTTTATGAGACGTCGAAAAGAAGTTCCTGTAAAACAGTTTAATTGGGGGTATAGGTTTTGTGTTAGTTGACCCTTCAGATGTTGCATGGCGTTTCACCTTTCTTTTTATGACGTCTTCAACATAACCATTAGAGAAGCCATTGTTGAATAGGACCTACAGAGTTCTTCATTGACTTGCTTCCATCCTGAGCTGTGGCTGAGAGCCCGTTCGACGTAAGCACTGACAACACTCCTCTTGTACCTGTCTGGGCAGTCACTATTGGCATTGAGGCACATTCCTATGTTTGTTGCCTTAGTGTAGACTGCAGTGTGGACTCCTACTATCTTCCTCTGTTTTAATCCTCCTCATAATTTTTGCATCATCAGCAAACAATGAGAGGAACGATTCTATACACTCTGCGAGATCATTTACATATATCAGAAACAGTATAGGTTGAAGGACTGATCCTTGCGGGACAACACTGGTGACGCCTCCCCTGTTGGAAATTTCCAACACTCATGCTAACCGAAGTTCTATAACATGTTAGGAACGATTGTATCAGCCGCCATATGTTCGTGGTAAAAAACATTTGGCCCTGCACTTGATAGAAACTCCGGGCGTCAGTCTGCTTTGATTCGTGTTTGATTATATTAGATAGAGTTTAATTAATGTTCACAGCAATCTAGAAGAATAAATTCGTATTTACCTCCTTTCATTAGTAAATTTGTACTGAAAATCCGTGCCATGATTATCAGCTGGTGGGCAGAGGAGCAGTCCAGCCACCCAGTTGTGGTTGAGGTTCCGACGAGATAGCTGACGCCTCGCCACGCGCCCAGAGAAGCACCATATTTGTGCTTATAGCCACAGAATTGTCTCACACGGAGGTGCAAGTAGAGCAGCAGAGTCAGGCCGTTGAACGGATCCCTGCATATCCAAATGCCGCAGTCTCCAAAGACGTATCCCGGTTGTATAGCATTCATTTCATTTGTTAAGCGCTCGTAACATAGAAATTTCAACCGGGTTATGAGGCATATATACTTTCAAACCCCAATAAACCTCTCTCCCTTTCATTAGGTATTATTTCCTGTATTACACTGCTAACGTAGTAGGCTGTTGCAGTTGGTACATTGTATTACCCCGCCAGATGTACGTTGGTGACGTGGGAGAAGATTTGCTGGTACCAACACGTTGGAGTTCAGGGTTAGAATACAAGACGCAGTGACCTCAACCTTTACTGTTGAAATCAGCTGATGACTACTTTCGTGATATGCTGGACTAGGATCTTCAGTCTGGCAAAGTTGAAAAATTAATCAGTAGTAGAGTAGCCTACTAACCCTATAAGCCGAAGGGTTATAGGGTTAGTAGGCTAACCCTACTAATCCTATAACCCTTTTAAAATACTCGAAGTATTATAATATATATAATTCTAAAATACTCGAAGGACCCGAATAGAATTCTGGTCCTTCGAGTATTTTAGAATTATACATTATTTTATTAGCATATAATCTAGAAACACATTTCCCCACATCGCCAATATGAGACCTCACCCCTCAGAGTGACTCGCTGTCTTCTGTTGCTTAGGTACTCCCTAATGCAATGGAGTACCTTCCCTTTCACTCCGGCAGCGGCAGCGGCGGCGGCAGAGATGAGAGCGACAACGGAGACGTTGGCGGCGACGTCGTCAGTCAACTCAGTGATGACAGCAATGATAGTGACACAGAAACATTAACTGGAAAAGGAAGTCGACCGGCACCAGCATATTTTAAAATGATTAACGAACTTAACGAATGCGTTCGAGTCAAGTACCAGAGTGAAAATGATAATATTCTGCATGACAGTGCTTATACCATGAAACTTACAGAGAACATTCACTCACCGACCATCCAGAGTTGCTCAGTGATCGAGAGACTGATGGATGTCACCAGGTGTTACTGACGACACCAAACACCAGGTTGGTGCGGCTTTTTACGTCGTAGAGTCACTAATTAACACATTGTGGAAGTGGGACAAGGACAAGAATGGGACCTCCAGTCCCACGGAGGAACAACACCAAGACGATGGCTGCGGTTGACACAAGGACCATTAGGTTTCTCAGTTGGAACATTCGTAACATCAACAAAAGACTGAATGATCTAACTGCAAATGTTACAAGTAACAACATAGATATAATTACTATACAGGAGCCCTACATGTCCAACATGATAAACAAAACCCCACCAAAGATCATAGGGTATGCATCCTATACTAACTGTAACGCCACAGACCTATTAACATTCACCAGAAGTGATTTACCTCACACCCTTGTGATCAAGTCACACTATGTACACACACATCTGGAGCGAAGGACCTTTGTGACATGGTTTCAGGTATGGTAAGTCATGCCTCATAGGATTAATTGAATTCTACGATCAGGCAACAAGTATCAAACAAGAAAGAGAGGGGTGGGCAGACTGCATATTTTTGGATTGCCAGAAAGACTTTGACACAGTTCCACACCAGAGACTAGTGCGAAAGCTAGAGATGCAGGCCGGAGTGAAAGGGAAGGTACTCCATTGGATAAGGGAGTACCTAAGTAACAGAAGAAAGCGTGTCACTGTGAGGGGTGAGGTCTCAGACTGGCGAGACGTCACCAGTGGAGTCCCGCAGGGTTCAGTCCTTGGACCCTTACTGTTTCTTGTACATGTAAACGATCTTCCAGATGGTATAGAATCATTCCTCTCAATGTTTGCTGATGATGCAAAAATTATGAGGAGGATTAAGACGGAGGAAGATAGTATGAGGCTACAATATGACCTAGACAGACTGTATGAATGGTCCAACAAATGGTTACTAAGGTTCAACCTGAGTAAATGTAAGGTAATGAAACTAGGAAGTGGAAACAGGAGGCTAGGCACAGGATACCGAATGGGGGAGAAAGTTCTTCATGAAACGGACAGAGAGAAAGATATGGGAGTTGATATCACACGAAACCTGTCTCCTGAAGCCCACATCAAAAGAATAACATCTGCAGCGTATGCGAGGCTGGCTAACATCAGAACTGCCTTCAGGAATCTGTGTAAGGAATCATTCAGAACCTTGTATCCCTCATATGTAAGACCAATCCTGGAGTATGCGGCCCCAGCATGGAGCCCGTACCTTGTCAAGCACAAGGCGAAGCTTTAAAAAGTTCAGAAGTATGCAACTAGGCTTGTCCCATAACTAAGAGGCATGAATTACGAGGAAAGGCTGCGGGAAATGCACCTCACGACACTGGAAGACAGAAGAGTAAGGG